ACAGGAAGGCCGCGGGGTCTCAGAGGGTAGGGAGCGGGAGGCCAGCCCTGCCGTGGGCCGTGCTTGGGGGCCGCAGGGTCGCCTCGGGGTTGAAGCTCGGCGTCAGTACGCGTCTGGGGAATTCCTGCATGCTGGCTCATGCTGGGGATGGCCGGGATGCCAAGATGGCCCCGCAGCGCGTTTCCTAGAGTTTGGTTACCTAGAAGATCATGTGCGGTAGAACGATGAGGCTTATTTATGTTCGTGAAAAGACTTCTCCATCGAGTGGGTTTTATCATAAGGGTTTCTGCAATAACCAGCATTCTTCACTTTCCTACATCCATTAGTTGACGCAGTGCCCCAGGACATCCCCTCTCCTGCAGGTGCAGTCAGGTTGGTAACGTGCGCACAGTGACACAGGTGGCAGGGCTGGGTCTCCCACCCCGTGGGTACTGCTGGCTCCGAAGTCCGGGCTTTTGCCACTAGTTCTGCAACTTCGTGCGGTGCCAGGGAGAGATCCTTGACCTCCCCATCTTCATCAGCTTCCCCCCACCCAAGCCCAAGTAAACATGCAGCGTAAGGAGAAAAGAGTAAGGTTGCTGTGTGAACCCAGAACTCAGACTGGTCATCCCGCCCCATTCCAGGTCCTTTATGTAGGATTCACACAACCCTGGCCACATCAGCCTCCACCCCTGTGCCATGTTAAGAGATAGGTCTTGCTGCTGCCCTCACTCCGTCTCTCGGTTAAATTCTGTACTGGCTTACTCAGCTGACCCAGAGACTGAGCCACTCTTACATAAGAGTGTCCTTAAGGTGTTCAGAGGCCAGCAACTTTAGTGGCCTCCTTTCCTAGGACACAGGCTCCCTACCCACCCCCACCCCCCAGCAAGTGTGTTTTTAATTCAGAATAACTTTTGAAATTTCCCCAGAAAAGCTCCGTCCTCTAAACAGGACTCTGAGGTTCTACTGCCTTGCTCTTATTCCTGACAGAGTGATGAAAGGAAGTTTAAATAAGTGGCATTTTGCAAAACCATCCAACCTGGTGTGACTTTCAATGCCTGTCCGGTTTGGCTGGGAGGATATTTTAGATCTCCAGGATTACGCGCTGTTCTTTGTACACTCTGCTTGTGTCAGCGATGGAAAAGGTGTCAGTCTGCTCTGAATCTCTCTGACCACCTCAGGAAATGTGCTTTTGGCTCACAGAGAGGGGGGTGAGAAATTATTTTGAACCACAGTGTCTATGGAGGATGTCAGCGGCCCTTTGAAGTGAAAGAGTGGATGGAAACCCAGCTCTCTCAACTACCTGTGTCAACCCTGGCATGCTGCATCACCACTCCGTCTTCATTTCTTTATTTGTAGAGTGGGAATGAATTTGCTCATCTCGTGGGGGTGGTTGTGATGATTACAAGTATTCACTATAAAGAGCTAAGTTTCATACGAAGTGATCAGAAGTGTTCATTCCCCTCCTTAAATTTTCTGTCCTTCCTTTCTCTCCCACACTTAACAGCCATGCAGTGTGCGTTTTAATAAAAGTTCCATGAGTGCATGAAGTGTCTAATGCAGCGGTTCCGAGCCTTTTCAGCATCAGGGACCAGTTTTGTGGAAGACAGTTTTTTCATAGTTGTGTAGGGGGGAATCATCTGGCATGACATTCTCATAAGGAGCACACAACCTCAATCCCTCACTTGTGAGTTTCACAAGAGGGTTCATGCTTCTATGAGAATCGAATGCCGCTGTTGATCTAGCTGAAGGCAGGGTTCCACTCACCTGCGGTTCTGTGCAACCCGGTTCCTAACAGGCCAGAGACCGGTACTGGTCTGCGGCCCAGGGGTTAGGGATCCCTGGTCTAATGTTTAACCTCAACTCAATAAGCCTTCCTGAGGAAGGTCATGTACACATTATGCACACTTCGATAGCTCTTAAGAAAAGCCAACCTCTTTCTCAAAATGAGCTTTCTCTCTTTCTTGGATAACAAATAACACACAAAAAGAAACAAAGGGAAGCATCGAGTGAATGAGGGAAAGCCCCGGTTTAGGCAGGCATCAACTGAGCCAGATTCTAGTCCATTTTCCACCACTAATTCCCTGTATGACCTGGGATGGCAGTGATGAAATGTACTGAAGGCCTAACATATACCAAGCATGATGGATTATAGCACTTAATCCTCATGATGATCCATGAGGTTACTCTTGCTATTACCCCCATTTTACAAATGAGCTAACTGAGACCTTGCTAAGGAACCTGGCTGAGGTCACAGTAAATCCAGCAGAGCCCGGATTTGAGGCCAGGTGGTTTGATTCCAGAGCCCATACCTTCCCCACTGTATTATACAGAATGGGGGCAAGTCAGTTAGCGTCTCGGGACCTCCGTTTCCTCATCTTAAGCAAAAAAAGGGCCAGAATAGATGACATCCAGGCATCCCTCCAGCTCCAGCCTTCTATAACTCTAATAGAATTATATAAGGATGTTAAATAAGTCAGGCCCAAAGTGCTTTTCAGAGCCACATCCAGGTGGGTATGATGGCTTTCCCATGGGTAGAAAGCCACTAAATATTTCTTATGTGTCCCTGGTTCCAATTTTCCATTAAAAAAGCCAAACAAAGAAATCATCTTCCAAAGCTTCCTTCCAATTGATTCAGATCCCTGAGGCTCATTTTGACCAAATTGGAAGGAGAAGCAGAAGGTGTAGAAATCCACGGATTCCTGCATAACAGATATGCATGATGGGAGGGCTGCATCCTCTTACACACACACACACACACACACACACACACACACACACCCAGTATTCATATCGCCTTCCAATGACGCTCAGTACCAGTTTCTCTAGCCAAGTTGTCATGGCAACACCAGCTGCCAATGAGATCATGGAAGACAGGGTCATAATGGCAATGGGACCTTAATATTTTACCTGGCAAAGCCACTTAGTTAATAAGATGAATAATCATAAATCATAAACCCATAGGAAGCCAGGCACCATTCACCGTACATGTTTAGTGTGCAGTTGGGGGTGGGGGTAGGAATGACAGCAAAGGGAAAAGAAAAGAAAAGGAAGAGAGGATGAGGCGGGATGGGGAAGAAGGTCTCTGAATGCTGATCCTTGTTGTTTCTCAGGGTAGATCACACACAGGTGCTGACCCTGCCTGTGCATGGATTCTGACCCTGCCTGTGCATGGATTAAGGAACAAGGCTCTTCCTCATGGCAAGAAGGGTGGGGGGACCACAGGTTCCCAGCCTCAGTCATAAGAGGCTCATAAGAAACCCAAGGCAACTGCTTTCTGGCGTTCACACTAGCAGAGGAGGGAAACAGCCCAGGGAAGATATATGTGGTAGACAACAACCCACCCTCACCCCGCTCAGTCTGGCACAGTCATGATGTAGAAAGGCCTTTCCCATTGCCCCCTATATCCCATGATGACCATCATCTTTTACAGACTGACTCGCCCCAGGGCTGTCTGTTGCCCCTCTAAACCAACTTGCTAAAGAACAAATCAATTTGATTTAAGGGTTTAAGGAAGGATCCTTTCCCAAGAAGCTAATCACAGTGTGAGCCTCTGGCCAGAACTTGGCAGTGGGGAGCCAAGGAGGGAGAGACTGAATACCCTTTTGTACCCTTGAATGTTGTACTTGGTGCACAAATCACTTATTCGGGTAAAAAACTGCAAAGACTCCCCCTTCTTTCCCCCACCCAAGGACTAGACACATGGTGGGGAGATGGCCTACAACTGGGGCAGTAGTGAGGCCCGGGTAGGTCCGTGTTGACGGAGAACATGTGTAACCGAATTGATGGAGAACCCGATTTTCCACAAACAGGACTCATGTTGATCTTAAATGTTTATGCAATCTGTTTCTAGGGCTGTGGTTTTATAGCCAGCAGGTTCTGTTTAGAGAGCAAAAGCAGTCGGTTTTCTCTGGTGGTGCCCAGGGGCCGGAGTAGCATGAAAGTGAAGGGCTGCCCCGTGCCGTTGTCACTCACACCCACGCTTCCTGTACTGCCTGGTGCCCATCGCAGGCCTCTGGAGAGGGGCCACCCATGCGGGCAGGGAGCGCGATGCAGGCACAGGGTGGCGCCACAGCAAGAACCGGGATGGAGCATCACAAGACCCACGTTCTGGTCTGACGCCTCTTCCGAAGACACTTCGGGTCTCTGAGCCTGTTTCCCCTCTACAAGGGAGCATAACTGTACAGTCCTCGCTGCATAGTAGTGAGGGTGAAACAAAGGACATTTTCCCTTATTTAACAGATATACTCCACATACTATGTGCCAAGTGTTATTCTAATCTCCTTACATATGAGGAAAACTGAGGCACAAAGAATGCCAGTGCCATGTCCAAGATCACATGCCTGGACAGGGGCTTAGCCAGGATTCTAACCTGATAGTCTGGGTCTAGATGCCACATGCTTGACCCCTTTTATGTAAGGATAGGGGATGTGTCCCATGGTGGCATCTCCTCAGTTTCTTCTTTTAGCAACTTCTTTGGGGATGGAAACTTCCACCAACATCTCCCCTTTTTTGGTTGGTTGATTTGTTGCCATAAGTGACTGGGTCGCTTGTAATTCCCACCGTTTTCTCTACCAGCATTCCTCCTACCCCAGTCTCTCAAGCCAGAGGTCCTCGGAGGCTGAAGGTGGGCAGTGAGACCTGTCGTCACTAAGACTGCATTTTCAGATTGGGTTCTGAGCCTGGGAGCGTGTGTCCCTGCATATGCATGGAATGACCAGATGATCCTGTGCCTTCCAACAGTTTAATATTAGGTGATTCCGTTATTCTGTGGAGGCATGGGAGGACTGAGGAACACATTTTTACTTTTTGAAATTTTAACATTTTTGCCTTTTTTTTTCCTTTTCTCTATCTTTTAAATTTTATTTTTATTTATTTTGAGTCGGGGTCTCACTCTTGCCCAGGCTGGAGTGCAGTGGCACAATCACAGCCTCCACCTCCTTATACCTCAGCCTCCAGAGTGACAGGGATTACAGTTACATGCCACTATACCTTGCTAATTTTTCTATTTTTTTGTAGAGATGATGTATCACTTTGTTGCCCAAGCTGGTATTGAACTCCTGGGCTCAAGCAATCCTGCTACCTCAGCCTCCCAAAGCGCTGGAATTATAGGCGTGAGCCTCTGTGCTTGGCCTATTTTTATTTTTAATTGTGGTAAAATACACACAATATAAAATTTACCATTTTTTTTTTTTTTTTGAGTTGGAGTCTCACTCT